TCTTACCTGCAGGCCCTCAACAATACAAGTAGCCCTCCTCTGAACCCTCTCCAGGCCATCCACATCCCTCTTAAAGTGCGGCACCCAAAACTGGACACGGTACTCCATCTGCAGCCTAACTAATGCCGCATAGAGGGGAATTATCACTTTCCTAGACCTGCTTGTGATGCACCTGCTGATGCAAGAAAGCGTGCAGTTAGCTTTGCTTATTACCTTGTCACTGGCAACTCATGTTCATTTTTGCATCAACCAGGACTCTGAGATCTTGTTCCACTGTTGTGGTACTCAGAATGGTAACCCCCAGCCTATAGGTGTGTTGGAGATTCTTTCTCCCCAGGTGCAGCACCTTGCATTTATCTTTGTTAAATTGCATCCTATTCTGATCCGCCCACTTTCCCAGTCTATCCAAATCCACCTGAATTTGCTCCCTGCCCTCCAGTGCGTTTACTACAACCCATAGTTTAGTGTCATCTGCGAATTTGGACAAGGTGCTTTCAACACCTTCATCCAAATTGCTGATGAAGATATTAAACACTAATATCTGGTCTGGTCTGATCCAAGGACAGAGCCTTGGGGAACACCTCTGTGTTCTCCCTCTCCTCCAGGGAGAAACAGACCCATCCACCACCACTCTCTGGGTGTGTTCCATAAGCCAGTTTTTCACCCACCTTACTGTGATAAAATCCACATCACAGCTACTCAGTTTGTTCATAAGATTTGGGAGCGACGCTGTGTCAAAAGCCTTTTTAAAATCCAGGTAGATAATGTCTACTACTCCTGCATCTAAGCACTTTGTGGCCTGGTCATAAAAAGAGACCAGGTTAGTCGGGCAGGATCTGCCTGCTATACACCCATGCTGGTTGCCCCTTAATGTTGTGTTACCCGCCGACCCCCTGCAAATGTGATCGTTTATGATTATTTCTAAGGTCTTGCTGAGAATAGAGGTGAGGCTAACTGGCCTATAATTACCCGGGTGCTCTTTCCTCCCCTTCTTGAAAATAGGGACCACGTTGGCCCTTTTCCAGTCCTCTGGGACTTGTCCCAAGTGCCACAAGCACTCAAACAGTTGTGCCACTGGGTTTGCTATGTTATCGGCCAGTTCCTTTAGTACCCTTGGGTGAAGATCATCGGGGCCTGCCGACTTAAATATGTCCAGCCCTTCCATGTGCCCCTTCACTAAGTCAGTGCTAAGTGTTGGTGGATTGGTATTACTCTCACTCCAGACTAAAGACTCATTGGGAGGTTGTGGCAGGGGGCTGTTGGTGTCTGCCC